TCCGCCTTCCCTGGGTGGTCTAGGCCTTCCCCCTTCTCCCCTGGCTTGAAGCCCCAGGGCTGGCTGGGGTGGGAGCCAGGTCTGGGGGCTGTGACCGGGCTGGGATGGGGAACCCAAGCAGACATGATATTTATGTTAGGACTTCAAAGTGGAGCAGAGCCCAAGGCGGGGGGTTGGTGAGGGCTCTCGAGGGGCGGGAGGGGTGGGAGGGAGGCAGGCAAGAGCCAGACTGAGGTCAGCTTAGGCCCCGCCCTGGTGAGGGTCTCCTTGGTGACACACACCTCCCCCTTGGGACACTGAGACCCAGAGTGGGCTATTTTGGTGCTGAGTTCCAAGAAAGGCACTTCCTGCACCCGCGGCCTGTCCCCAACCCCATCCTCTCTTCCTGTCACCGTGCAGGGGGAGCTGGGTCCTCGCCTGGGAGGCAGGGGGCTTCGAGCGGGAGCGGGAGCTGAGGACTCCGGCAGGAAAAACATCCCTGGCGCTGGGACAGGCGCGTCCTCAGCTCTCTCTGGCAGAGGCCTTGCCTGGCAGGGCAGCGAGGGTCTGTAACCCCATGGGCCCTGACTGGGCCAGGCTGCTCCAGCCACTCAAGGCCTCTGGGGGCCACAGGGCTGCCCGCCTGAGGGCCCGAGGGGCCGACATGGCCGTGAAGGTCACCCCACCCCTGCCCCGCCACCCTTGGCCTCACCCCTGCTAAAGACACCCAGCTGTTGGGGCCGGGAAGCCATGGGGTCAGGGGCCCAGGCCCCAGGCGGGATGGGCGGGAGGGACTGTTTGTCTCATTCTGCGACTCAGTTCCACGTCCTAAGCCCCGTCCAGGAGCCAGACCCAGTAGACACCCCTTCAGGCCGGGGCTACCTCCTCCCCCAGGAAGCCTTCCCCATCTCAGACTAGAGGCTTGCTCTGGTCCCAAGACCCTCTGGTCCCAGGCCCACTTGGGCCTCCCAAGCCCCAGGCCCCTGGACCGTTCCCCCGGCCCCCCCTTCCCCAGGCACTTCCCATGAATCACTCAGGCTGGAATCTGATGAGCTCAGGCCTCCCCGCCCAGTGCTGCCGGCCTCTGCCTCCTGCCTGGCCAGTGGGGCCGCCACACCCCCACGAGGGTCTTCTCAGAGGCTCACAGCCCCCACTGGGGTCCACCATGGGGTGGGGCGGCTGAGTGGCGGCTGGGATAGGCCCCGGCCGTGTGGGTCCGCGTCTGTGTCCGCACTTGTGTGTGTGAGCATCTGCACTTCTCCGCCCGTGTAGGAAGGAGGAAGCGTGTCGGAGCCGGGGCCCTGGGTGTGTCCGTGGCAGTCGGGCAGGGGTGGGTGTGTGTGGAGTGCTTGTGGAGCCGGTCACCACGTGTCTCCGTGTCTCCGTACGTGTGTCAGGGAGCCACTTTCTGAGCCCGAAAGGGAGGGTGCTGAGGGAATAGCTCTGAGTTCGCAGGCCCAGGGACGCCCGCGTCGGGGTGTGGCTCAGAGGAGGGGCGTGTGTGTCCGTGTCCCGTCCTGCGGGGCACGAATGGCTCACAGCGTCAGGGTGTTCCCAGTGCTCTGGGTGTTCCTCTTCAGGGTGGCGGTGCTCAGGGATCCCGGCAAGTGACTGGCAGGTGAGGTGGGGCAGCCCGGGCACAAATGAGTCAGGGCGTTTTGCGTGTCAGGTTGTGCCCATGAATGTGGTCCCCAGGCCATACGGGGTGTTCACTGCTTTGTCTGCGAGTTGATTCAGGGCGTGTGGATCTCAGTGACGCCTTCCTCCCCACCCCTGGCAGGGTCCTCTCTCAGGCCACCCCGCGGGCCTGGCTCCTGGGCCTGCCCGGAAAGAGAGCCCTGGCGGGGATGTGGCCGCTCCCGCATTCCCTTCCCAACCTCCGCTAGGAGGATCCTGTTCACAGGGCGGTCCCAGGGCCCCTCTGCAGAGCTGCTTCCCTCCTGGCACCAGGCCCTGCACCATCCTTGAAGGGAGTGCCCTGGGTCCCCGGGTGGCCTCAGGAGAGAAGGGACCGTGGCAATGACGGGGAGCAGGGCACGCTCGCCCCCTAGTGGCAGCAATGGAGGCTGCACCGCTGCCAGGAGTCCCAAGAACCGGATGAACTGGGTAGGCTGAGTCTTCCTGGATCAACTATTCCGCACACACTTACCAAATGCCAGTTCCCGGCCGGGAACTGTTCGAGTCCCCCAAGATAAAGCAGGGAACAAGGCTGACTTGGCTCTGGCCTTCGGGTGAGGGAGACAGACGGTAAACAAACTCAGAGAACTACTGTGAGGTGGTAAGTGCAACAGTTCCAAGTGAGGAAATGACAGCTGCTCCTCCAGAGATGCAAGCATCAGGGTCAGCCCTGCCCTGCAGCAGTGGCCGCTGGACTCAACGTGGCCCCTCTCAGAGCCCTGACTTCCTCTTCCAGAGGGTGACAGGCGGGTGGCAGGGGTGGGAGTGGGGGCAGTACAGACCCAAGTGCACACTAGGCTGCCCACATCACACCTGACTCCCTCCAGCTGGGGCTGTGGGTGCTTAGCTGGTTCGGACACGATGGGTTACTGCTGAGTGGATGAGTACACGAGTCCTTCTCCCTGGGAGGACTGTAGAATCTGAAGATCCACAGAACCTGGTGTCTGAGTCCTTTGCCCTGTAACGAGTCACTTTCCCTGAGCAAGCCTCAGTTTCCTCATCTATAAAATGGGGATATTGAAGTCACTCCTAGACTGACCTATTGTTCCCTGCCCTGGAGCCCCAAGCCCTGTCCGATGACCCTTGGTCATGCAGATTTACCTGGTCGGGACCCCCGAACCATCAGAATCTCTTGAAAAGATAAACCAGGAGATTCAGGCAGCAAGCCAGGCCTGGCAATGCTTCAGTGAGCCACTGCTGGGGGCATGTTGGATTCCCAGGGCCAGGAATTAGGACTGAGCCCTGGAGAGGGGTGGGAGGGGCTTGCAGAGGCCCCCTCACAGGGGCCCAGAAGCCTCCGCCAGTCCTAGTTCCCGTGAGACCAGCTCTACATCCAGCCCTGGGGCTCTCTGAACACCTCCTACGACCATGTCAGGACCTTCCTCTGGGACTGAACTTGAGACATCCTGTGTTCGGTTCCCAGAACCCAGCCGCCCTTAGCCTCCCACCTCACCACCCTGTGCTCTTAGTTATCAAACTCCAATCAGTGGACCACATTTATTGAGCGCCTGTGGAGCGCCCAGCACTGTACAAGGCACTGGGGTGGGTTCGGGACTGGTGGGGAATACATACAAAAGAGTGAAGGGAGACCCTCACCAGTGAGAAGCTTGTGTGTGTCCGTGTGTGAGAGGGGGTGGAAGTTGGCAGAAAGCTGCTGATGGCCTAGGGAGAAATTTGGGAGTCCTGCACCCGGGCTGTATCTGGAGGGTCTGAAATCCCAGTGGCTGTGATTTCTGCCTCGCAGCCGTCATGTCTGATATGTGGGCCGGTGTCCCTTTGTGCTCAGGGCCCGAGCGAGCCCCTCAGAGACTGGCTAGGGTCCTCCTTCCACTGGGGTCTAGTTCCTTCCCAAGGAGTGGTCCCCGGAGGCCAGCCTTATCCAGGCCTCAGACTCCCAAGAGAGCTGAGGGCCAGAAGGCTTGGCTCTTGCACTGCCCCTTAGTTGCTTGGCGGCTGCAAGACTGCAAACCCCAGGACCACCTGCACCGCCGCCGCGGCCCTGGAGCTGCAGTCACCGATCAGGTCGCCCTCTCAGCCGCTTCCTGGGCCACGTGTGCCCTCTTGTGGTGGTTTCCGGGATTTTCTTTACTCATTTGCCGCCTCCCTGGACCTCCCGCTCACTCACTCACATGTCTGACTCTTTGCGACCCCATGGACTGTAGCCCCCCAAGCTCCTCTGTCCATGGGATTTCCCAGGCAAAAATACTGGTGTGGGTCTCCTGCCATTTCCTCCTCCAGGGGATCGTCCGGATCCAGGGATCGAACCCTCATCTCCTACATCTCCTGCACTGGAGGCAGAGATTCTTTACCACTGAGCCATTGGAGAAGCCCTAGACCTTGAGGATTAATTTATTGGTGGCTTAGAACACAAGGCATAGTTGGAACCTGACTCCTGGTTTGGCCTAATGGTCCGGTGTGTGGCGTCTTAGGAGTCACTTTCCCCAGCTTCGGTATATAATAAATCAAGCCCTGTCTCCTGAAAACCTCTTGTGAGGTCCAAGAGACTTCAGTGGGGAAGAGACAGTTTCCGAGTCCTCATTCCATTTCAGAAGGCTATCTCACCTGTCCACTTCCCCTGGGACAGCAGCATGCCTAGGAGGACTTCTTCTCTTGGGGAAAGACTGGAACAGGGGTGCTCCCTTGGCTGAGCCTGACCCCCTAGATGTTCCCCAGGGCCGCCTGGAGAACCTCTCCCTTAGGTGAGGGAGGAGAATGGACCCTTGGAGAAGCGTGTGTATGTGCAAGCTGAGGGATTTGCTAATATTCAACCTCTTTCTCTCCCCCTTCCCCTAGTTGTGCTCTGCTCTGCAACAAAACCACCTATTCTGAGCCATGGAAGGCTTCTGGGAGACGGCAGCGCAGCAGTAGCACCCCCACTTTACAGGCGAGGACCCTGAGCTTCGGAGATGCTTGTTCTGCAGGCGGTGTGGGCAGGACTGAGCCCTGAGGCCTTGCTGCCTCTCTGAATCCTCCTGACACCTGGGAATTGGTGGGGCCTTTCTGGGCCTTGAACCTGCCCACCCCTCCCCATTGCCACCAGAGGTGGGGCCCCTGCTGGACACACTCCTCACTGAGGGCCTCCTGGCCTCCAGCTGAGGGGGCAGGAGGAGAGGCCAAGGGCCTTCATCTGGGGCCCCCCAGACCCCTTGGGCTTCACCCAAGTGCCCTGGATGTGGCCAGCAGGTGTGATCGGCGTGCTGGAGGGTCAGAGGTGACGGCAGACCGGGAGCGGAGTGGGGGAGGCTCTGGGGCTGCGGCCTGGGCCGGCGAGGCTGACGCTCTGCAAGGCCTTCCCAGCAGGCTCCAAGCTTCCTGCCCCGCGCGGCCCTTCTGTCCACTCCCAGCTACTCCTCTGCGGCCTGGCTCTCCCCAGTCTCTGGCCCCCTTGGCTGAGCGGGGCCTCCCCTGGCCTGGCCCTCGGCCCCCTCGGCCACTGTAGCAGATTCTCCCCTGCCATCCCTGGGGCTGGTTTTGGCCTCGGTGTCCCCAGCTCCCCGGCCCCCTTTCTCCTCCTCCCTGTCCCCTGCCTCTGGCCCCCCACTGCCCTCCCCTGTGGCAGCCCCAGGTGAGGCCCCCGGGGTCTCGGGCTGCTCTGCCCGGCGGTAGACGAGGTAGCCGGCGGTGGGGAGCCTGTGAGCCAGGGCTCCGGGGGGCAGGCGCTGGTAGTCCTGCCCCTTGTACAGGAAGAGGCCAAAAGCATCAGGCTGGGTCACCCGGAACTTGGTGGCACAGAGCTTATTCAGCGTGGCAATCGAGGCTCCTGGGGGCACGGCCAGCGTCTTGGAGGTGCAGCCACTGCTGGGGTCCTGATAGGCTACGCGGAGGAGGTGCTATGCAGGGAGAAGCGAGAACAAGAACTCAGTCCTGCCTGCAAGGCTCGAGGTCACAGTCCAGGCTCTGCGGTGACAGGGGTGGCTGGAAGAGAGCCAGTGGTAGAACCAGCAGCCAAAGCTTTCTGAATAAGGTGAGCTCTGAGGGGGGCTCCATGGATGAGAGGGCTGTCCCTGGGCTCACGGGTCAGAGCCGCGGGCTGGAAGGACGGCCCAGCAGCTCTCTACAGCCTATCGATTCCACTCAGGTCGAGCTTACCCTGTGCCCCCAGCGCTTGTTCTGAATTAACCCCTTTCATCCAATATCAACCCCAGGATGTAGGTCCTATTACCCCATTTTACAGACAAGAAAACTGAGGCACTAAGAGAACACCTAACTGGCCCAAACTCCCACAGCCAGAAAGCAGAAACGCCCGCATCTGGACCCAGGATCTGGCTACAAAATCTGGACTCTTAGCCAAGGCTAAGGAAGGAAGGGTCCCTTGACTGGATGGAAGGAGGTGAATGGCAGAGATACTCTCTGGCTCTCAGGACACCTCGCCTGAGCCCTGGGTGGGTTGGGGGGACAGGGGCGGGGAGTGAGGGTGAAGGGGGCATGGGCTGGAAGCCTGAGTCCAGGTGGCAGCCGGAAGCCAGGATCTGGGGTTTGAGCCTGCCTGTGTCCCTTTCCCTTCCCACATCATGTCTCAGTTTCCTCATCTGTAAAATGGGCATAATAATGATCCCACTTCAGTTTCTGTGAAGCCTGTGGGCTGCCAGAGCACTGAGCCATGTCCGTTGGTGGAATGCACCATCTAGAAAGGCTGGCTCGGATGTGTGTTCCATATGGGGCGCTGTCTGTCGCCTGATGATGCAAGATTGCCCTTCCCCTTTCCACGTCTTTCCTGAGTCTCACTGGGCGAGGGAGGAGACCGTGCCAGCTGACGCCGGGCACCCCCCGAGGCTGGCTAGTCCCGTTACCTGGAAGCAGTGGGTGGCGGGCAGGCGGCGCTGCTCCCAGAGGCTGAGTGAGCGCTGCAGCTCCTGTGAGGGGCTCAGGGGGAGGGCGTGGGCCTCGGTCAGGCCACTCAGCAGGGCCAGGCTGGCCGAGAGGCTGGTCAGGTAGTAGCCGCCTGGGACACGAGGGGAGGGCTGCGGCTCAGGCTCGGTGTGAGCCACCACTCCTCCCTGCCTCCCCCCTGCACAGTCAGGGCGCCCCAGCCCCACCCAGACAGAAGCGGGGGCCCGTGGGGTCCCTCACCCTCGCCGGTGAGCAGGGCAGGCTCTAGGAGCTCTGACATGTACTCGGCCTCCAGCAGCAGCTCAGGAAGGTCACAGTGGGCCAGGACGAGGCTCAGCAACGGCAGGAACTCATCAGCCCCTGCGCCCTCCCCTGTAGGTGGTGGACAGGGCCACAGGGTCAGGATCATCTGCTACTTATCTTAGACAACGACCCTCCCTCTGCCTGCCAGGCAACGTGGTCTCTATGGCAACCAGGGGCAGTGGATGGGGAGTGGAGGCTCTGCTTTCTGGCCACAGTTTTACCATCAGTGAAATGGGAAGGTTGGACCCATCCATACATATATATATATATATATTTTTTTTTTTTTTTTCTTTGTTTTCCCTGCTGTGCCATTCCTAGAGCCTCTGCCTGGTGGCCTGCCTCTGACTTGGCAGGGGCCGGTGGGAGGTGGTGGGAGGGGGCATACCTGCCTGGGTCCTCAGGGCCGTGTAGAGCAGCTTGCAGGCCTGCAGGAGCCGCTTGACCTGGGCGCTGGGTGAGTAGGCGCGAAGCAGCTGTAGCAGCTTCTGACGCACCTGCTCCATCTCTACCGGGGAGGGCAGGCTTAAGTGGGACCCAAAGGCGCTGGCGCCCCGGGCCCGGGCCAGGCGGAGGCCTTCAGCCAGGCGGCCCAGGGAGCTGTTGGCTGAAAGCCGGCGCCGCAGGCGGGCCACCAGGATGGGCCGCAGGGGCTTGAGCACGGAGCGGTGCAGCGACTTCTCCAGGACGCGTTCTGTGGGGGAGAGGCAGGCAGGGTCAGAAGAACTGGGGTGGGGTGGGAGTCCCGGGGAGGAAGGGCATGATCAGGAGGGGAGAGGGGTGAAAAATAGGAGCAATCTTTGTGACTGGGAGAGAGGCGGCGGGTAGCAGTTGCTTGAATGGTGCAGAGACAAGGGGGGTGTACACGGAGGAACAGACTGGGAGACAGGCCGGCCCTGGAGAGGCAGAGAGAGCGGAAGGCGGAAGAGCTGAATTCTGGAGACGGGGCTGCACAGCGGACCCCGGGCTGGAGTCTCACCCAGCCTGTCTGGTGGCAGCAGCTTCTCCGGGCCCAGCTCCGCGCTCAGCATGGCTCGGGCCCGGCTCAGGGCCTCGCGGACGGCCTGCAGCTCCCGGGGTTCGGGACCGGCGCGCACCTGGGTCAGCAGGTCCTGCACCAGCTGTCCCACGGCCGTGTGTCTGTCCTGCGTCAGCGCCGCAGCTGCCCGGCCCACCTGCCGCTCAGGCGATAGCAGGGAGCAGAAGGCAGCGCTCATGGACCGAAGCAGGGGCCGCCGCCGCCGCTGGTGGCCCAGGTGGGGTGAGGTCGCTGGGCTCCCCTGGGACCCCGGCACCCCCTCCTCCTCTGAGCTGCTGGGGGAGGCGCAGTCCACTTCCTGGAGGGAGGGCAGCGGTGGGAGGCTGGGGCCGGCGCCCCCTGGCACACGGTACCCCACCGAGCTCTCCCTCCGTAGCAGCTGGCGAGGGGGCAAGCTTTCTGTCTGGCTGGGGGCTGTCCCTGGCAACACCGGGACTGGGGGAGGCGGCACTGCTGGGGGAGACAGGGGGCTGGAGGTCTCCGTGGACACACGCACTTTAAAGCTCCTCTTGAATTTCTCCCGCTTGGTGGGGCCCAGATCCCCCGGGAACAAGGGGTTGAAGAAACATAAGGCGGCTCCGGTGCCCTGGTCCAGCTCTTGTGGGGGCCGGGGCTTCAGCCGGGGCAGCGGGGGGCCTTCCGATGAGCCTGGCTGAGCCTTGGTGTTGAGGGAGGAGCTCCAGAACTCTAGGAAAGAGAAACAGGTAGGGCCTTGGGGTGGGGGTGGAGGGGATCAGGGAGGGGACCCAAACTGGGGGAAAGGCCCAGGCTTCAGGCTGTGTGCCTTTGCCTTCCCTCTCCCTCTTGGCCTCAGCTTGTCCATCTGTGCAGTGGGTAGCCCGGGAGCCCTTACCCATGCCCAGATGGGAGATGGCTTCCAGCTCCTTGTGGGTGGCTGCCTGGCGGATGGCTCTGGGGAGCTGAAGCGGGAGGAGGAGAATGTCCCTGAGGCCAGAGGGGAGCAAAAAGTGGGCAGTGAGGAAAGCTCTGGGCAGCGGGCACCAGGAGCGCCCCTGGGCGAGGAGGACAAGGCATCTGGGGAAGGGAAGCAGGGCCCTGTGGCTCAGGCGCCCTGCAGGCAGGCTCACCGGCTGTGGCAGTAGGCACAGATCAGCTGGACCAGGTCTAGGAACACGAGCTCTGAGCCCTCCAGGGAGACACCTGAGGGGTGGGAAGTGAGGTTGTTCTCTGGGGCCACCCCCCTGCGCCCCGACCTGATGCTTCTAGCCCCTCCCGCCAGGCCGGGCCAGTCCCTCTCACCCCCAGAGGTCTCCTGGATACAGTGGCTGGAGACGAAGGAGGGGCCACTGGCTTCGGGCAGCCGCACGCACAGGGCCTGGCACTGGCGACTGTTAGACTTCCGTACCAGGAACGTCTGCGAGTGGACAGGGGTCGGAGGCTCGAGGCCTCTGTGTCCAGCCCCTCGCCCCCCTGCCCTCAGCCTCCAGCCCCAGGGGTGGGGAGAGACTCACCCCGGGGGGCTCAGTCCTCAGCACGTGCAACGCGGCGGCCTCATTGGCCCGCAGCTGCAGCCACACGGGCCGGGTGAGCAGCAGGCGCTCCCGCAGGCTCACGATGCGCCCCGGCTGCTGCGATCCACCTGTCTGCACCCCGCCGGCACCAGGCACATCGTACCGCGGGGCCTGGGCTGGCCTGGCGGGGAGGGGGGAGGCGGGGGCGCCAGATCTGAGCAGGGTTTTGCCCAACCGTCTCCCCCTCCTTTGCCCTGGGACAGACCCAGCTCGGGTTCCCCACCTTCCACACCACCCCACCGGGGCTGCCCTTCCAACTTTACTAACTTTTCTCTCTCCAGGTGCCCAGAAGTGAAGCTGGCTGGGTAGGGGGCTCCGAGAAGGCCTGTTCCTGGCTCCCGGGGGGTTTCCATGGCTGGGAGCTCCTCCGGTTTCTCTGTTTCTCCCGGGACTCAGAGAAGCCAGCCCCCAAGGCGAGAGCACTCACATTCCCAGTGGTGAGTAACACTTCCTGAGGGCGGTTCGCCCTGTCACACCCGCCAGTTAACTCTTGTGTGTCCACTCAGCCCGGGCAGTGCCTGCTTCCTCTGCTCTGGGCCCAGCCTCTGGGGGCAGGGATCCACTCCGTGCAGGTGGCCTGCCCAGGGTTCCACCTGCGGGGCTGCCACCTCCACACGGCGTGTCTTGCAGCCTTGCCAGACTCCTCAAACCGCACAGGTGGGCAGAAAGGAGTTAAGCAGGGCCTGCCAAGGTCTCTCCAGGCCTCGCCCTTGGGGCACCTTCAAGTCTGTGGTCAACTGCTCATGTGTCCCTGGCCCTGAGGTCAGCCTTTTGGGAGAGTGCCCCCTACTGGCTACAGATGACTCATGCCTGAGCTTAACTTGGTTTGGGGATTTCAGGTTGCCATGGAGAAAGGATGCTGTGTCTCCATGGAAACTAACCCCTTCGCTTAGTGGAGGTTCTGGGGGTGGTTCTGACAGCCAGCGCTAAATAGGGGGGAGTCTGGCTGTGAGGTCGTCAGCACATGGTGCTGCTGCTGGCTGCCTCCCACGCACACAGGCTCTGCCAGCCCGCCTTGCCAATCTGCCAAGAGACTGGGGCAGGTGCAGACATGATCCAGTCTCTAGGCACGGAGCACCCAGGCCACGTGCTCAGCCTGTGCCACAAGTTGCTTCAGACTTTGTTCACCAGCACCAGGCAGTCCAGGGCCCAGCCCCACACATCTGGAGCACATGCGTGGGGGAATGCCCCCTTCCCCAGCCTATACCCCAAGTCAGAGGGGGTAGGCTTTGCTCACTGGAGATACCAAGGCCCCCAGCAGAAACTGCCCGTCTCAAGCACTCTCCATGAGAGCCCTGATTCCCTTGCAAGGTAAATTAGACACATGTGGGTCATGCCAGAGTCCCAGGAAAGGTTTTAATTCCAGTCCCTAAAATGTGGGAGGCAGACACCAGGAACCTCCTTGAGAAGGAAGACCCAAGGAGCCTGCCTTGTCACCTCCAGCAACAGCCAGGACACGCAGGCCCCCCAAATATAATTTCTGGCTCAGAGTTCCTGCAAAGTGGGACCCAGCTCAGTGATTGGGGTCCAAGGTCAGAAGAAAGGATGTTGCTTTGGCTTAAGACAGGCACGTCTTCGTCAGGGAGGGCTCCAAGGAGGGCGACCTTCGGGAGGGGGCGGTGGTGGGCTGGCTGGGGAAGGAGCAGACCGTCCGGCTGGCCTCGGGCAGCTCCAGGCCTTCCCTGTTCAGGCCCCAGGGAGGGCAGAGGAGGAGCCCAGACCAGTGATGGCTGGAGCGGAGGACCCCGGAGCAGCACTGGAGAGCTGGCTGGGCAGACCCCGAGGGGCCTGCCGGTCTGTCTTTCTGCAGCAGGAAAGTTCAAGTCTCGGGTTTGCTGCCAACTGCTCCAAGGGGCCCCCCTGGCTGTGAAGAGCAGGGTCAATCAAGGTCCTGAGGGTACACAGGAAGGGAAAAATCACTGCAGGTGAGAGGAAGGCAAACCAAGAGGAAGAGAGGCACTCCATACAGGGGACTGAGAGGAGTGGCCTTAGTCTGGCCCAGGGCAGGTGAGGCCGGGAGGGCAGGGCAGCTCCACAGCCCTTACTAACGGGCTCCCTGGTTCTCCGGGCCCCCGGGCCAGCTACGGAGGCTCAGCATTCCATCCTCCCTAACCAGACCTGGCCCCAACCCCACCCCAATCCCCACCGTGACCTCGAACCCAGAGCTGCCCTCAGACCCAGAGCATCCTAACAGATCTGATATGCCCCTGCCTCCCCCCCCCCGGCCCCCCCGGCGCCTTTCCGGGAGGCTGGCCTGGGGGAGGGGGTGGTGGAAGGCGGGACACCTTTGGTGGTTCTTACCATCTGATTTTCTCTTCTGAGGGGACACAGCTGCCCTTGCCTGGGTGGGTAAGAAAAGCCCACTGAGAGGCTGCCTGCAGCTTAGCAAGACCCCCCTCCACAGCAGCCTTTCTGGGGTGGGGGCTGCACACAGGGGCTGAGGGGAGCTTAAGGCCCCTTCTAGGCAAAAGATGGATATGCTCTCTTGTCAGAGACCCAGGCAGCCTGGCTGCCTTCCTTCCTCCCAGACCATCAAAATCTGCCTGGGAACAAGAAAGGGGCTGAGGAAAAAAGGAGGTTTGGGAGACCAAGCAAAGCCAGGGCACCCGGGCTGAAGGCAGTGGGTGCCGGGGGCTGACAACAGAGCTCCCCAGGGGAAGGCTCGCACAGAGACCAAAGCTGGTTTGGTTGGAGAGGGGGCGCCACACTGCCAGCCCGCACCCTGTGGCAGGCAGAGTTGCACCCACCTTTTTGATGGCCGTCCAGTCCTCCAGGATGTCAATCTCCTGCAGCATGTACACGATGTAGGGGCCTGCGATGGGGGTCAAGGAAGCAGGAAGCCTGGTGGAAGGGGCAGGGGATGGGCCCGGGCCCCCGGCCCAGGGGGTGGAGGTGGGAGTGCCAGCACTCAGAAGAGATGGTGCCATGGACGGCGGGGTGGGGAGCCGAGCTGGGGTAGCACTCAGGCTGCACCTCCGACCTCGTGGCTCCTGGGTTCTCAGCAGGGTGGAGTTCGTGGCTATGGCCTATTTCAATCTCACCCAGTCCACAGAGGGCTTCCAGACCCAATCTTACCACCCCTTGGCTCCCTCCTCACCTCCTCTCAGGCCTCAAGGTCAGAAGGCCAAGGCCCAGGCCACCCACTCAGGGATCTTGCCCCCCTGTTCCTTCGTCTGGCCCCTTTCCCACCTACACAGGGACTCTCATCTCTTCTGTCCTAAAAACCACCCCCCATCGGTCTCACACACCCGTCTGAGGAACAGCCACTCTGTCCCCCTGACGTCTCCACACCCTCACCTTCCACCCTCGCTCAAGTCTCTGCAGTCCAGATTCTTCCCTCCCTGCTTGAACCTGATCCCCATCACCAGGAGGTCAATTTCCTGATAATCTGGTTGCGGCAGAAATTTGGAGGGGTGTGTATACCCGAGAATTCAACTCCGTGCTCGGCTATGCGAGGGGAGGCCGGCACAGCAGGCCCTGAAGAGGGGCTCACACCTGGGGTGTGGCAGAGATGACTATCTATGTCCAGAAGGGAGGCAGGTGCCCCAGTTCAGGTACAGGGGTGCAGAGGAAAGGGAAGCCACAGCCATTTGCCGGGGAAACCAGGAGAGGCTTCACGGAGGAGGTGACAATTGACGGGAACAGAACAGGCAGACAGGTAAACGCATCCAAGAGGAGAGTGGAAAGTCAGCAAAGGTACGGGGGTGGGAGAGCCTGGGATATGCCCGGGACACTGTGAGGAAGCCAGAAGAGCCTCAGAGGAGGCCTCACTCAGAAAACCATGGGAAAACCTCTGGATGAATGCATCTGTTTTCCCATGGTCCACACCGCCCAGGAGGACCCTGCAGAAAATTCAACAGCTGGATCTGCCTGTACACGGCCACAGGAGGCCAGATGACCTTAAGTGAGTCTGGTCTGCCTCTGTCTCCCGTGTGCCTCCACCCTGACCTCCTGCCCAATTCAGGCCACTGTATGGGGAAGGATACCGGAAACGAGAGGCGCCTTCTTCCTCTTGTTGGGCGGCAGGGAGTCCCATGTCTTCGAGCTGCCTCTGGCGTGCAGTTTGTCATCCCACCACTCTGTGCCCCAGGGCAGAGTCAGCATCGGGGTGCTGTCCTCCCAGGACGCCCCACCCCTGCAGCCCGCATCCCTCACGTGGGCCAGGCCAGCCCGTCCCCATCAGCCTCCCCAGGGCAGTGCAGAGAAGCCTGGGCTTGGAAGCCGAGTTCAATCCTGGGGAAGAGGTCACTGTACTTCTGTGAACCTCAGCTTCTTCATCTGTTTCATGGATGGGGGTGTAAGATCACTAACCCCTCCCTCCCCAGTGCCCTGTGTGAACGGACACAGTGGCCATGGCAGGTGCATGTGTGTCGGAATGATACCTCCGTTCGGGAAACTGAGCACGGGGGCGGGGGACCCCTGAGCTGCCACTGTGCGCCAGGCACTGGGCCAGGCCCTTCCCCATCTGCTTTCCATCAGTCCCTGTGGTGACCGCGGAGCAGGTCCTCTTACAAGCACCCCCGAGCAGGCAGGAAAGCTGAGGCCCAGATAGGGAACGGGCACTGAAAGCATAGGGCCAGGCAGGGGCGCCGGCCGGCCGCTGGCCTCACCAGAGCTGATGTCCAGGCTCTGGCGGTCCTCCTCCAGCCTCTGGATCCGCTCCTGCAGCTCGCCCTGCAGCGTGTCGTAGAGCAGCAGCTTCTCACTCTGCAAGAGGCACCGTGGCTCAGCGGGGAGGGGCGGGGCGGGGCGGCCACCGCCTCCCCACCCAGTGCACCCACATTCACCTCCAGGTGCTGCCTGGCTCCCTGCAGTTCACACTCATACTTGTTCCTGATCACGTCCAGACAGAAGCCTTTGTAAATCCCTACGGAGGGAGGGCGATGGGCGGCCTGGCTTGGCCAGGGCCCTGGCTGCCCACAAAGGCAGGCGAGCCAGGGCAGGGGTGAGAGGGGAAGGGGACAGAGAGCCGTGGGTTCTCGTAACGGGGCGGGGCACAGGACGGGCCACAGACCTGCCACCTGAATGCGAATCTTGAGGCTCCGCTGCAGCCCCCCCAGGGGCTCCGTGTATTCGGGCGCCCTCTCAGCTCCCACTTCCTCCAGCCGCACCCGCAGCTGACTCAGTCTTTCCCTGAACAACCTGGGAGGCGAAAGGCAGCCGTGCGCTCGTGTGCCCATCTGTCGAACACGTGCCCAGCGCCCCCGGTCAGGCCCTTGCTCACGCCAGCCCCAGCCAGCCCCGGCCAGCCCTGGCCAGCGCCAGGCCCGCCGCAGCCTCCTGCAAGCCTGGCCCCGGGCCCCTCGCTCACTTCTCCTTCAGCTCCGAGAACTGCTTCTCCAGGTCCATCATCTCACTGACGCACTCGCTGCGGCGCCGCTCGTAGTCCTCCTCATCCATCTCTGGGACAAGAGGCCAGTCAGGGCCGGCTGAGGGGGGCGTGGGCAGGGCGCTCGAGGGTGTGTGGGGCTCACCTGAGCTCTCCTCTTCGGACTCGGTCTGGCTGCCGCTCCGTTCCTCCTCGCTCTCCTCCTCCTCCCCATTCATCTCGGCGGCTGAGTCACCCTCTGCTTCCATCTCCTCTGTGTCCTTGCTTGGAGGCTGGACGGGCATCTGGGCGCTGGGAGTACCAGTGTAGCCGTCACTCGCCCCTGCCCCCAGCTCCGAGTGGCAAAGTGGTCACCTGGGGAGTCAAACCAAGCTTCACTGTGGACGGGGACAATCAGGGGAGGGACTGGACTGGACTCACTGGGCCCCGGGGACACACGGGGTGGGGCAGGTACAAACGGAGTCATCTACACATTTCCCGGAAATCTAGGAGCCCCAGAAATGCCCATCCCCTTGGACGTTGTTGGTGATCTCAATCTCTGTAATACTGGCCAAGGTGATGATCCGTAGGATGGGAAAGGCCAAGATGGGCTCCCCACTGCCTACAGGACTGGGCCGAAACTTCTGACCCAGGCTTTCAAGGCCCTGCACAGACTGGACTTGAACCACTGTCCAGCTCCTTCACCCACATCTAATGGCTAGTTCTCAAATACACCACGCACTTCCTCCCCAGCCCCTGCTGCCCACTGTGCTGTTCCTTCTGCCTATAAAGCCCTCCACTTCTCTTTCCACTCTACAATGCTTGGGTCCTCTCGCTATGCTCAAATCCTGTCTCCTTCTGCTTCCAATAAGACCCCACGTCATCAGTTCTCCACTCTCTTCTGCATGCTCAATTTTCCCTCTTGGCAGCTCTTAGGAAACTTTAGACATGCTTAGGTATTTCCCAACATACAGAAAAAGCAGAAACACAAAACTTCATCTTACTCCACTCAATTACCCATTTCCCATCTTTTCAACGTCTCGTGAACACTTGCCCTTCCTACTCTTTCACCTTCCACTTGTTCCAATCTGTTTCTGTAGCATCACTCTCAGCTGAAACTGATCCTGTAGTTAACAGATGACCTCCTCGTGCCCAATGCCAATATTTTTCAGTGCCTATCTTGACTCCTCAGCAGCAAGGAACACTGTTAAGCATTCTTTTACTCACCGATTTAATCTTTATTGAAAAATCTATTACATGCTAGGTACCATCAGACACGATGGTAGGAGCTTGGCTCAAGTGTGGCAGACAGAGTCTCTGATCTCAAGGAGTTTACAAGTTCCTGGGACAGAGAGGCCCGGAAGCAGAAGTTAAGACCAGTGGCATACGGGAGAGGCAGCTAACTGAAACGTGGAGCTTGCTGCAGAGTGAGGGCTTGTAGAGGAAGATGGGCCAGACCCAGGAGATGAGCTGGTGAGGAAGAGAAAGCATTCTAAGGAGAGTGAGTGGCATGAGCAAAGACCCTGAAAGGAGAGAAAGGGCAGGATTGGGGGCACATGGGTCTAAGCCTCAGAGAGAAATCTGGGCTGTAGAGATCTCGTCATCACATATAGTGAGTTCTTCAGACCTTGGGAGAGAGTGCAACCAGCAAGGTAGAATGTGTGGAGTGAGAAGGGGCTCATGATGGAACTCCAGGGTCACCGAAGGGGCAGATGATGAGACCCCTCCAAAAGAAGAAGAAAATTAGCAAGAGATGGAAGAGGAAAAACTCAAAGTTGGGGAGAGAGAATTTCAGAATGAAGAAGTGACAGTGCCAAGTGCAGCCAAAAGATCACCCAAGAGGAAGAATAAACAGTCTTCTCAACAGATCATCTCTTTACCTACTGGGGCTCCTGTTTCACTGTGATACCGTCTCTGGGCTTCTTTGTAGTCCTTTAGCTCTGTGCAGTCACCCTTCCTGACTTATTTATGTGTCTATTTGCCCATTCTCATGTCTGTCTCTCCAACCAGCTTGTAAGCCTCACCAGGGCAGGGCTGCACATGTGCTTTATTCACCCATTTGTACCAACTCATTTGATAACTGGAGGATTTGCACATACAAAGTTATACAAAACCTTTTGTATGGCAGGGATTGGCTTTTACTTCTCGGTAGCCCCTGGCTTCTGCAAAGGTACTCAAATAAAGTAATTGGCCTAAGTTTCAAAGTGGGCTTCCCTGGTGACGCAGATGGTAAAGAATGTGCCTGCAAGGCAGGAGACCTGGCTTTGATCCCTGGGTGGGGAAGATCCCCTGGAGAAGCGAACGGCTACCCACTCCAGTATTCTTGTCTGGAGAATTCCATGGACAGAGAAGACTGGCAGGCTACAGTCCATGGGGTCGCAAAGTCAGATACGACTGAGTGACTAACACTTTCAAAGTTTCAAAACATCCCTCAATGATTTCACAAATGATCTCAACCTGGCCTGAAAGCCTCGGTTCACCAAACCAGCCTCTTTCCCATCCTGCCTCAATTTCCAAACTTTGCAGTTCTTCTTCACTAGTAAGGCCTATCTTTCTGGGCCAGAAAGGGTGAGGGATTGGGGAAAAGTCTCTCCAGCAGTCTCTGAGTCTACTGCTTACCCTGGGTATAAAAAGAGAATAACCATCGCCACTCTCAGTGTTGTAAAGGCTGCAAGCGGTGAATAGCAAAGCAAATTGTAAGGCACCGTGCACACTGCAATTTATCTTTCAGAAAGTGAGCAAGTCGAGGGCAGGCCTCCTAAGAAGGAAGATTCTGCCCCAGTCTCGAAGAAGTCAACCCAGCCCCTCCACGGCGCACCGAGAGCTTCCCGCCCAGTTCCATCTCCGTACGTGCAGGCGCGGGCGGGAGAATCACTGGCTCTTCCGCTGCCAGCTCTGGTCCCGCGGTCCCCGCACGCGTCCGGCCGGTTAAGTCTCCGCTTCGGCCCTGGAGATTGGGCCGGCTCCGATCGACTGACCGGAGAGGGCAAACCAGGCGCCAGGGTTGGCGTTACGCACCCGCGGGGAGTGGGGCCTCTGACCACGTCCAAAACTCCCTGAGAGGTGCCGGAGGATGCGGACACTGGGCGCCGCCGCGGGGCTCCCGGAAGCGCTGGGCCGGTCTCTTTCCTTCTGGGGCGGGGGGCCTGGCCGCACTTCCGCATGCATCATCAGGAGGCGCCTATAGGAACTCTCACAATTGGGCAGCTGGAGGTGAGGCATGCTGGGATACCGCGGGCCGGTTTCCATAGCAACCGATCGAAATTTACACAGGCTTTCGACGGGCAGGAAAGGCCCTCGTGCGTTCTTTGCCATGAAGCCCGCGCGCCACTGTCTGCAGCCACCTCCCCCGGCTTGAAAAGGGGAGAACCTGCGACCTGTTCTCCCATCCCCGCCCGGTTCAGGATAGTAATGAAGCCAACTGTAGGTGTCAACACATTTATTTACACATTGTAGTCGGTAGGCAAATTACCCAGCCCAGCCTATTCAAGGGTACAAATTCAGACTATTAACACACACAACCTACCAGACCTTTCCCTTCTCCAGAGCCCCCGGGGCGGAGGCCTAGACTACCAGGAAGCTGCCGAAAACCTAAGAACTAAATTCAACGCCTTCATCAGATTTCTTTCCAAAACGCCCCTTTTGTTAAGTACTGACTTCTCAGCTCTGCCCCATTCATACGTTTTTGCTCTCCTACTGCCCACCCACCCAAGATTGTTAATAATAACAATAATAATACTGTAATAATATTAATAATACTTCACATTTGTACGAAGCTTACAGAGTGTTTTCACATATAGCATCTCCTCTGAGCCTCCCAACAGTTCTGTGAGGTAGGTATTTCTCACCTCCCTTTTACAGACGGGGTAACTGAAGCTCAGGGAAAGAACGGGATTTGCTCAAGGCCACACAACTAGTTAGTGGTTAAGCTAGGACTTGACCCCAGCACCCCATATTCAAGTCCAGTGTTCAAACACCACAGCCACCACTGTAAAGTGGAGTGACATTTCTTACCCCAGTCAGGCCTGAGGGGCGGCCTAAGGAGGGAGGGGTCTGAGACTTCTCAGACTAGGTGGGGGAAGGGCTCAGCAGTGACGCGGGGAGTCAGGGTACTTGGCCTTCAACTCCTGTTTGAACTGACGGTAAAGGATCTTATTGTGCTGATTTTCAGCCTCCTTTTGGGGATGGAATTTCAAAACTTCTTTGAAGCCCTTATGAACCAGGAAACCTTCATTCAGCACCTCGAAATCGAATCCTGCCACGTGCAGCTCACAGGCCTGTGGAGGGAGAGACAGAAGTGTGATGACATTCCTAGAGCAGAGACTGACATCCCTGCTTGCTCCAGCATTCCCAGTCCTCTGGAGGCACCATGGATCTTCCAACCATTCAACCACTTCTTGAACTATGATTCCTCCTGCCTCACTGCCTCTTTTCCATCCAGACCTCCCTGATGCCCCCATCCCTCCTGCCCCATTTCCCCTTCCCTCTCCCTTAAGAGCACCTGGCTGATACGATTGAAGCCATACTGCCGAAAGCGCTCGTCGAAGGTGGGCACCTTGCCTCCAGCCACGTAGAATGGCTCCCAGGGGTCTTGCCAGGGCACCACGTAGGCAGGCCTCAGCAAGGTCTCTTCTGGCAGGTTGACCCAGCGGGAGTAGTTGGTGGGCGCCTGGCAGGGGGTGCAGAGCCCATAATAAAAGGGCCGCACCTCGCCCACCTGGTAGAGCTGCAGCAGCTCGTTTTTGTTCATGGGCATGCGGCGGGCTCGACGGATCTCAAAGGCAGGCACCACCAGCGCTGTGCCCGCCCACTGCTTGCTCTGATCCAGCATTTCCCGCAGGCTTCTCCACAGCCCCTCGCTGGGCACCATGTCCACGTCGATTACTAGGGCATAGTTGGCCCCCTCACGAGCCAGATTCCTCAGCAGGTTATTGGGGTAGGAGACGTTGGTGCCCAGCGCGTAATTGACCCCGGGCTGGGCCACCCTGGCCAGTTTGTCAAAGACCTCCTGGCAGGAACGCAACAGGGCAAACTCCCCTGGCTCCCGGGGGTCGGGAACGGCGGCCTCGTAGCGTGAGGGGCACACAAGGTGCATGGCGACCCTGGCACGCATATCGGGGCAATGGCTGCTCAGCGCGTAGGTCAGCACCGTGGCCAGCTGCGCCTCCTCCTTGGTGGCGGCGAACACCGACACCGACAGAGGGCCCTCCCAGCGCTCCAACAGGCCGGACAGGTGCAGCAGGTTGTCCACACTGGCGTGAGTGGCCAGGATCACATCGTTGGGGTCCATGGTGGTCTTCAGTAGGCCCCTGTAGACGCGGTAGTCGCCGCTGGCGTCCAGGACGCCTCCAGAGGCCAGCGCGGTGCGGAGCTGCGCCTTGACTTGGTCCACCGACCGCGGGGACGGGGGAAAGAACTCGAAATATTGGTCTTGCTCCTCTTGCCCATGTAGCCCGGACAGCAGCGACAAATAAAGCAGCTGCAGCATAGCCACCAGCATGAGCGCGGCCAGCAGCAACTGGTAGAAGGCACATCGGATGGCGTAGGACATCTGCATGGCTCTCGGGGTTCGGGGCGCGCAGCAGGGACCACCGGGCCGCAGCCTCTGCCAGCCTCTGCAAGCCCGGATTTACCGCAGCCTGCCGAGCGCGGCCGAAGCGAGTCGAGGCGAGCCGAGGCGAGCCGAGCCCCTCGCGCAGCCCCGCCCACCCGGCCGCCCGTGCTGGCCTCGGGCGAGCCAGCTCGCCCCCTGCTCCCCGGGAGGAATTACTGCAGCCTCGGTCCTCGCCGCGCGCTTTGCAAACGCTGGAAACTGACCGCCACCGCGCCTGCTGTGTTCCGGGGGACCTGCACCCCCTCCTCTGAGTCAGTGCGCGACCTCCCGGACTAAGTGCGTCCTGAGACCTCGGTTCTCTCTCCCCAGAATCAGGGAGCAGAAACTGTGACCGAACTTGACTGCAGAATGGTGAAGGGTGGCGCGGGTTCCTGGCTGCAGCCGGCGGAAAGGAACATAAAAGCCCCTCTCTGTCCACCGCCTCTCCCTCTAAGTTTTATCAGGTCTGTATTGAGGAATAGCTGCAGGGGTCCCGGAACACGCTGGGATGAGAGATAAAGGAATATGGAAGAGCGTACTTTATGTGGGACGAGGTGGCCGAGTGGTTAAGGCGATGGACTGCTAATCCATTGTGCTTTGCACGCGTGGGTTCGAATCCCATCCTCGTCGTTCGTGTTTTACGCGGGGGGTGATTCTTAATTTTCACATCGTGGTGTCTGGGGCAGTGGGTTGAAGAGAACTGTACTGGGGATGCGGCACGATTCAGTACAGGCCGGGTCTCATTTCTGTGTTTGTTCAATGTGCAGCTCCGGCAGGTTCGTACTCCACGTATGTGGAGCCAGTGGGAGGAAGTCGGAGCTGTACTTTTTTCCTTCTCCATAGAAAGAGGGCCAAGGGTTTGGTGACAGCAAAAAACCAGAGCCAGAATTCTGATCAATGCAAATTGGGGTCCAAGAACTAGAGAAGACCCCCTGGAGGAGCTGGTCTGTCTAAAATAGTGGAACTGGAGGCAAGGAGGCGGTTTTAGAGCATTTAAATTATTAAATTATTCAGCGCACTGATTCCCCTTCCTCTAGCACTTCTCTCTGGGCGGAGGCCTTGCATGGATCCACACACCTGCTGCCCTCCCTCACATACACAACTACACACTTAACACCAGTGTACACAGAAGGCGCCTAATAAGTGTTTCCGGAATGATTGACCCATGGACTCTACAGGAGGAGGAGAGGCTGTGCAGAAGGGCAATTACTTTCATAGGTAATCTGTTCCAGCGCTGTGAATCTTCGGAAGGAGCTTTGGGTCGTCCCAGGGAGGGCCTGGAATGTCGGTTTAAGGTGTTTTCCTGCTGCTCCACAGGCAGTAGGGAACCAAGGTTGTTGAGTTAGGAGGTGATCAGGAGCAGGAGACCTTTGAGTCAGGAAGTGATCAGGAGCAGGAGACCTTTGTTTTGCGGCCCCAGCTTGTGGAATCTGAAGCTGTCTCCTGGTAGGTAGTGTCAGAATTGAGTTGTATAGGACACTTAGCTGATGTCAGAGAATTGCTTGATGTGGGGTGGGGGTGGGGGATAAAATAAACCAAACAAACCTAGGCATCAAAATTTATGTCCAAATTGTATGTATACCCTGGAGAATGAAATGGAAACCCACTCCAGTATTCTTGTCTGGAAGATCCCATGGCAGAGGGCTACAGTCCAAACGGTCAAAACAGTCAGACATGAGCAACTGACCACGTAAACACACACAGTGAAGACCCAGACAGAGAGAACAGACTTGATGCAGTGTGGGAAGGAAAGGGTGGGCAAACAGAGTAGCACAGAAACATATAAATTACCATATGTAAAATAGATGGCTAGTGGAAATTTGCTGTCTGAGCAGGGACTCAAATCAGGTACTCTGCGGCAACCTAGAGGGTTGGGGTGGGATGGGGTGGGAGGTAAGCTCAGAGGGACATATGTGTACCTATGGCTGATTCATGTTGATGTCTGGCAGAAACCAACTCAGTATTGTAAATGAATTATCTGCCAATTAAAATTTTTTTAAAGTAAGGAAAATAAAAAAATTGTATGTATAAAAATAAACTGGAAAAAAAATAAACTGAATTTTGTGTATTGTCCTTGAGCCCTGCAACTTTGCTAAATTTGTTTCTTTACTCTTTTTTTTTTTTTTACTCTTAATTGTGTGTGTGTGTGTGTGTATTCTTTAGGATTTTCTGTATGTGTGTATATCATTTGTGATTGCAGATAGTTTTACCTCCTTCTCAATTTGGATGCCTTTTATTTCTCTTTCTTGCCCAATTGCTCTGGCTAGAATTTCCAGTACAAAGTTGAAGAGATGAAATAGTGACAAGTAGGCATTCTTGTCTTTTTCCTGATCTCAGGGAGACTTCACTCTTTCACAGTTAAGCATGACATTAGTTGTGAATTTTTCATAAACACTTTTTCAGATTGAGGAAGTTTGTATTTATGCCTTGTTTGTTGAGTATTTCTGTCTTGAAAGGATATTGGGTTTTGTCAGATGCTTTTTCTGCATCAATTGAGATGATCACAACCTTTCTTTTCATTAGTGTCATGTATTACAATGATTGATTTTTGTGTGTTGAACCACCTTCAGTTCAGTCCCTCAGCCGTGTTGACTCTTTGCAACCCCATGGACTACAGCATGCCAGGCTTCCCTGTCATCACAATTCCTGGAGCTTGCTCAGACTCATGTCCATTGAATTGTTGATGCCATCCAACCATCTCATTCTCTGTGGTCCCCTTCTCCTGTCTTCAACCCCTTCCCAGCATCAGGGTCTTTCCAGTGAGTCAGTTCTTCACATCAGGTGGCCAAAGTATTGGAGTTTCAGCTTCAGCCTCAGTCCTTCCAATGAATATTCAGGACTGATTTCCTTTAGGATTGGCTGGTTTGATCTCCTTGCAGTCCAAGGGACTCTCAAGAATCTTCTCCAACACCACAGTTCAAAAGCATCAGTTCTTTGGCGCTTAGCTTTCTTTATAGTTCAACTCTCATAGCCATACATGACTCCTGGAAAAACCTTAGCTTTGACTAGATGGACCTTTGTTGGCAAAGTAATGTCTCTGCTTTTTCATATGCTGTCTAGGTTGGTCATAACTTTTCTTCCAAAGAGCAAGCCTCTTTTAATTTCATGGCTGCAGTCACCATCTGCAGTGATTTTGGAGCCCAAGAAAATAAAGTCTGTCACTCTTTCCATTGCTTCCCCATCTATTTGCCATGAAGTGATGGGACCAGATGCCATGATCTTAGTTTTTTGAATGTTGAGTTTTAAGCGAAATTTTCACTCTCCTCTCTCACTTTCATCAAGAGGTTCTTCAGTTCCTCTTCCCTTTCTGCCATAAGGATGGTGTCATCTGCGTATTTGAGATTATTGATATTTCTCCCAGCAATCTTGATTCCAACTTGTGCTTCATCCACTTTGGCATTCCTCATGATGTACTCTGCATATAAGTTAAATAAGCAGGGTGACAATATACAGCCTTGACGTACTCCTTTTCCTATTTGGAACCAGTCTGTTGTTCCATGTCTAGTTCTAACTGTTGCTTCTTGACCTGCATACAGATTTCTCTGGAGGCAGGTCAGGTGGTCTGGTTTTGCCATCTCTTGAAGAATTTTCCAGTTTGTTGTGATCCACACAAAGGCTTTGGCGTAGTCAATAAAACAGATGTTTTTTCTGGAACTCTCTTGCTTCTTTGATGATCCTATACATGTTGGCAATTTGATCTCTGGTTCCTCTGCCTTTCCTATTTCCGGCTTGAACATCTAGAAGTTCTTGGTTCTCGTACTGTTGAAGCCTCACTTCGAGAATTTTGATTGTCACTTTTCTAGTGTGTGAAATGAGTGCAATTGTGTGATAGTTTGAACATTCTTTGGCGTTGCCTTTCTTTGCGACTGGAATGAAAACTGATCTTTTCTAGTCCTGTGGACACTGCTGAGTTTTCCAAATTTGCTGGCATATTGAGTGCAACACTTTCACAGCATCATCTTTTAGGATTTGAAATAGCTCAGCTGGAATTCCATCACATCCACTAGCTTTGTTCATAGTGATTCTTCCTAAGGCCCACTTTACTTCGCATTCCAGGATATCTGGCTCTAGGCCAGTGATCACACCATCGTGGTTATCTGGGTCATTAAGATTTTTTTTGTATAGTTCTGTGTATTCTTGCCACCTCTTCTTAATATCTTCTGCTTCTGTTAGATCCATGCTGTTTCTGTCCTTTATTGTGCCCACCTTTGCATGAAAGTTTCCCCTGGTATCTCTAATTTTCTTGAAGAGATCTCTAGTCTTTCCCATTCTAATGTTTTCCTCTGTTTATTTGCATTGATCACTAAGGGAAGGCTTTCTTTTTTCTTTTTTTTGAATAATTAATTAATTTTAATTGGAGGCTAATTACTTTACAATATTGTGGTGGGTTTTGCCATACATCGACCTGAATAAAAATATGGAACATTTCACAAATTTGTCTGTCATCCTTGCTCAAGGGTCAAGCTAGTCTTCTCTATATCCATTCCAGTCCATTTTAGTTCACTGATTCCTAAAATGTCGATGTTCACTCTTGCCATCTCCTGTTTGACCACTTCCAATTTACCTTGATTCATGGACCTAACATTCCAGGTCCAATGTTAGGTTCATTCTAATGAACCACCTTCATTCTAGAATAAATCCCACTTGGTCATGGTGTATAATTCTTTTACTGTGTTGCTGTATTCAGTCTACTAGTGTTTTGTGAGGAATTTTACACCTATATTTATAAGGGATTTGGGTTTGTAGTTTTATTTTCTTGTGATATCTTTATTTAGCTTTGGCATCAGGGTAATGCTGGTCACATATAGAGTTAGGAAGTATTCTCCTCTTGTATTTTTTGGAAGAGTTTGAGAGCTGGTGTTAATTCTTTAAATGATTGGTAGAATTTGCCTCTGAAGTCAGCTGGTCCTGGAATTGCCTGGGAGGTTTTTGATTACTGATTCAGTCTCATTCCTTGATATAGA